TATTTGTTTGAGAGAGAGAGCTTGAGAGCATGAGCAAGAGAGACAGAGGGAGAGGGAGAAAGAATCTCAAGCAGACACCACACTGAGTTTGGAACCCAACGTGGGGCTTGATCTCACAACTCCGAGATGAGCTGAACCGAAACTAAGAGTTGGACATTTAACTGACTGCACCACCCAGGCATCCCTTATCTCTCTTTCTTTTTTACAGGTTAGTCTTGTTAGAGGCTTATGAATTTTATTGATATTTTCAAAGAACTAGCTTTTCATTCTTTTATCTGTTTCTACTAACTTCCTGCTTTCAGTTTCTTTGATTTCTTATCTAATTTTTATTATTTCATCTTTTTTCCTGGTTACTTGGATCTAACTTGCCTTCCCCTCCACTTGTTTCTCAGTGTAGCATCTTAAATTACTGATTTTGGAATTTTTTTCTTTTGTATAATTTTCCTCTAAGCAGCAATTTATATGAATCTTGCAAATTTTGAGAAGTTGTTTTTCCTTTTCATTTGGGCAACAATATTTTAAATTTTCTCTTGAGACTTCATCTTTGACCACTGCGTTATTGGAAAGTGTGTTGTTTAATCTCCAAATATTTCAGGATTTTCTAGGTATCTTTCTGTTATTGAATGCTAGTTAAATTCCTGTGATCTGAGAACAAACATTGTATGATTTCTATTCTTTTAAATTTGTTAAGGTGTGTTTTATGGCCCAGAATGTGGTCTATCTTGGTGAATGTTTCATATGAGCTTGAGAAGAGTGTGTGTTCTGCTGTTGTTGGTTGAAGTAGTCAATGGATGCCCATTACATCCAGTTGATTGATGGTCCTAAGTTCAACTATGTCCTTACTGATTTCCTGCCTGCTAAATCTGTGCATTTCTGGAAGAGGGGTATTGACATTTCCAAATATAAAAATGGGTTCACCTATTTCTCCTTGAAATTCTATCAGTTTCTTCCTCAGGTATCTGACACTCTGTTACTAGGTGCATACACGTCAAGGATTGTTATGACTACTTGGAGGATTAACCCTTTATCATTATGTATGCCCCTCTTTATCTCTGATGATTTTCCTTAGTCCTAAAATATGCTTTGTCTGCTTTGCTATTTGATGCCTTTGCTTTTGAAATTAATAAAACTACTCTAGTTTTTTTCTGTTTTATTGAGATAACAACTGACATACATGTAAACTGTGTGTTTAAGGTATACAGCATAAGGATTTGACTTACACATATCATGAAATGATTGTAAACTGTGTGTTTAAGGTATACAGCATAAGGATTTGACTTACACATATCATGAAATGATTACCACATAAATTCAGTTAATCTCCATCATCTCAGGGGCATCTGGGTGGCTCAATTGGTAAAGTGTCTGCCTTCGGCTCAGGTCATGATGTCAAGGTCCTGGGATCAAGCCCCACATCAGGCTCCCTGATCAGCAGAGAGCTTTCTTCTCCCTCTCCCCATTGCCGCCCCCCCCACTTGTGTGCTCTCTCTCTCTCTCTGTCAAATAAATAAAATCTTTAAAACATATATATCCATCATCTCAAATAGATATCAAAAGAAAAATGTCCTTCTTTTCTTTTTGATGAGACTTCTCAGGAATTTACTCTCAACATTTTTCGTATATGCATAGCATCCACAGCATTAACTGCGGTCACCATGTTGTCCTTTACATCCCCAGTGATCATTTATCTTATAACTGGAATTTTGTACCTTTTGACCACCTTAATTGACCCAGTTTTATTTTTATTAGCATTAGCCTGGTATATCTTTCTCCACTATTTGACTTTTAACCTATCTGTGTCTTTATATTTAATGTGGGTTCCTTATGGACAACATACACTTGGGTCATGCTTTTTATCCACTCCGATAGTTTCTCTCTTTTAATTGGTATTTAGGTCACTTATGTTTAAAATGATTATTGATATAGTTGAATTAGTATTTACTACATTTGTAACCATTTGCTATTTGATGCCTTTGCTTCACTTTCCTGGTTTTTTTCCCTTCCACTCTTTTTTCTGCCTTTTCTGGTTTTGAGTATTTTACATCATTCTGGTTTCTCTCTTCCCTTAGCATATCAAATATACTCCTTTTTATTTTTATTTTTTTGAAAGGGAGAGAGAGAGAGAGAGACAGAGACAGAGACCACAAGCAGGGAGCGAGGGACAGAGGGAAAGGGAGAGAAAGAATCTTAAGCAGGCTCCACACACAGCCTGGAGCCTGATGCGAGGCTCAGTCTCACAACCCTGAGATCATGACCTGAGCAGAAATCCAGAGTCAGATGCTTAGCTGACTGAGCTACCCAGGTACCCCGACTATACTTCTTTTTTAAATACTTAAAAAAGAAGCATTGGTTGCCCTAGAATCTGTAACCTGCTTTTACAGTACGCTAAGTCTGCTTTCATCTAATACTGCACCACTTCACAGATAGTGCAAGTATTTTATAACAGGCTATTCCCAATTCTTCCCTCCCATTCCTTATGACATTACTATCACACACCTCCCCTACTCACAAGCTACATTCAACCAATATATTGCTATTATTATCTTGAACAAACTGATAGATCAGTTAAGTATAAGAAAAAATATTTTGGGATGCCTGGGTGGCTCAGCAGTTGAGCATCTGCCTTTGGCCCAGGACATGATTCTGGAGTCCTGGGGTCAAGTCCCACATTGGGCAAGGGAGCCTGCTTCTCCCTCTGCCTGTGTCTCTGCCTCTCTCTGTGTGTCTCTCATGAATGAATAAATAAATCTTTTTTAAAAAATAAAAGAAAAATATTTTATTTTACCTTCATTTATTCTTTCAGTAGTCCTCTTCATTTATGTAGATCTGAATTTTGACCTATACTCTTTTTCTTCTCTCTGAGGAACTCCTATTAACATTTCTCGCAGGGCAGCCTGGGTGGCACAGCGGTTTAGCACCACCTCCGACCCGGGGTGTGATCCTGGACACCTGGGATCGAGTCCTGCGACGGGCTCCCTGAGTGGAGTCTGCTTCTCCCTCTGCCTATGTCTCTGCCTCTCTCTCTCTCTTTCTGCATCTTTCATGAATGAATAAATAAAGTCTTAAAAAAAAACATTTCTTGCAGGGCTGATCTTCTGGTGACAAATCTCCACAATTTTTGTTTGTGTGAGAAAGCTCTTATTCCTGCCTTCACTTTAGGATAATGTCACTCATTACAGAATTCTAGGTAGATGGGTTTTTTTTTCTTTCAACAATTTAAATACCTCATTCCACTCTTCTTGCTTGCGTGATTTCTAAGAGAGGTCTGATGTAATCTGTATCTTTGTTCTATTAGTGAGCTTTTACCCCCCCCCCCCCGCCCAGCTTCTTCTGAATTCTTCTCTGAGTGAGATAGAAAGGCTGGAGAGGGCTGGGGCTGAATATTTTCCATCCTTCGGTAGGTTAGGATGTATTAAAATCCATATTGGATACCCAGAGGGCAGACTATGTGAAGATCCTGGAGGAAAGAACTGTCTACAAGTCTGAGAGAAATGCCTTAGAAGGAACCAGCCTCGCTGATTCCTTGGTCTTGAGCCACCAGACTTTCTGAAGGCTAAAAGACAAGACATCTAGCTCCCAAACTCCCAGTGTACGAATGTATAAAAGGAAGCAAATCACTGCAATGAAAACCCTCATCAGAGAAAAGGGGAACGAGAACCAGCCAGGCTGCCTGGCCAGCGCCGACTGGTGGGGGGCACAGCACAGACTCCCAGTTACACTGATTGATTTTGGGATGTCAAGCCAACCTTGCACTACTGGGATAAATTCCACTTAGCCACAGTTTGTAATTCTTTTCATATGTTAATGATTCTGTTTTCTAGGAGTTTGTTGAAGATTTTTTTGTGTGTCTATTTATCAGGGAGACTGGTCTTTAGTCTTCTTGTGAAGTGTTTGCCTTGTCTGTTTGGTATCAGGGAAATATGGCCTCACAGAATGAGCTGGGCAAGTATTTTTCTCATTTATGTTTTTTGTAAACGTTTGTGAGGGAGTGTTTAGAATGCTTTAAATGTTTGATAGAAAAAATAAATAAATAAATAAATAAATAAATAAATAAATAAATAAATGTTTGATAGAATCACCAGAAATGCTGTCTGGGCCTGGACTTTTCTTTGTGGGAATTTTTCTTTATTATTAATTCAATCTCTTGTAGATCTATTCAGACTTTTTTTTTTTTGGTCCATTTCAATAGTTTGTGTCTTTCTAGGAATTTGCCCATTTCAGCCAAGTTATCTAATTTTAGCACACAGAGGATGGGTCAGCTGTAGGTCCATCAGCTGTAGGGACCTTCGAGGGATTTCACGATGCAGTCTAAGTTACTTGGCAAAGATTTCAAGATTGCGCCTTTGGAAGTGGCCCTGCTCAGCAGCTAAACGTGTGGGGATACCCACACCGCCTCCCTCCACTTCCTTTCCTCTCCTGCTTTGCTTTGCCTTTCTTTTCTTTTCTTTTCTTTTTTCTTTTCTTTCTTTCTTTGTTTCTTTCTTATGAGAGACAGAGATTTGGTGGTGGGGGAGGCAGAGAGAGAGGGAGAAGCAGGCTCCCCACAGAGCAGGAAGCCAGAAGTGAGACTTGATCCTAGGACTCTGGGATCCTGACCTGCACTGAAGGCAGATGCTTCACCCACTGAGCCACCCAGGTGCCCCTGGCTACCCCTTTCTAAGAAAGAAAGCCTTTGGCTGTCTCCACCCCCCAAACTGCACCCCTCCACCTGCTCCCAACCTCCTCTCCTCATCCCTTCCACACTTGGCTCACAACAAGGCTCCCCGATACTGGCTCCCACTATCAAAGCCTTTTCCAGGACTGTTATCAGCAGCTGCTGAGAGTCTGTGGGGCCCAGAGTCCATTTAAGGAGGGTCCATCTTAGGAGATGGGGATGACCTTGAAACGCCCAAATCACAGGCCTCGGGGCCCTTGGGCGGGCAGATGCATGCCCTTCCTCCAGCTCAGTGCCGGCTCTGAGCGCTCCCCTCTGTTTGGGAGATTGAGGGAAGGAAGGGAGCATGCACTTCAAGGAAAAGCTCATGGTCAGCAGCGTTAGGTGCGGGGACAGGTGAGCAAGTTTAGAAAGCAGGGTGTTCTCGATGACCCAGAGCTTCACAGTGAGAGGCCATCCCCGGGACTGGAGAGCCGGGAACAGGCAACACAGAGTGGGCCAGGCTTTGTGTCCTCCTGCAGGCCGGAGTGCCGTTGCCGGGCCTCCCATGGGTGAGGAACAGACTCTGAGAGGTTAAGGAGCTTGTCCAAGGTCATCCAGCTACTGGGTGGTGGAAGCAGGATTTGATCCCGACAGTCTGGCTAGGAGATGGTGCTGTTGATGGTGGCACTTTCTGTCCTAGACGACAATGAAAGGGGGACAGTGTAGTTGTAGAGAACTTGCTTTCAAGAAATTATACTGTGGAGAGGAAAAGCGAATGTGCATTTAGGAGAATCACAGCACTGGGACATCTGTCTCTGCCTGGGGGAGTGAGGGTTTGCAGAGTGTCTCAGGGTCGGAGTCGGGTTTCATGAGGGGACCTGAGGGGGTGCATTGGGGCCTTTGGAACAGGGGCTGCTGCCCAGGGCCCTGCAGTGTCCCCCCAGCTGTGCAGGCCCCACATTAGGCCCACGGTCCAGCCCTGACACACCTACATGTCGTCTATTTGTTGTTGCTTTGCCTCTAAAGAATGCCAGCCGTGTCAGAGGAGCTAAGTCAGGAGCCAGCAGGTCAAAGGAGCTGGGACCCCATAAGAGCTCACGACAGTAGCACCCCAAACCCCGACCTGCCCCGGCAGCCGAGGCCCAACTGTGCTAAGGGCTTGTCTCCAGGACCCTGACTCCGAGGAGACTCAGTCCACTCCTCTGCTTGGCTGGGTGTTGCCCACACCATGGCCTGGAGTAAGGGCCTCGCCCCCACTCTGGGCCTGCCCGGTGAAGCTGCTTCAACATACAGGGCGCGTGCACTGCCCCTACCTTCCCGTGCTCTGTAGGGGCAAAGAGACCTGTTCGTGCTCATAGAGTCCTCGGGTGCTGGCAGAGCCCCTCCAGGCTCTCTGCTCCCGACCCTGCCCTGCATCCGGAGGCTGCCCGGCTACATGGGTGAGGACCTGGCAGGGATTCAGGGAGCAGGAGTGAGGGAGGGGCTACCCTCAGGCAGATGTGAGTGTGGCTACATGGAGCCAGACCTACAAAAGCCTGAGCCCACCTCAGGGAGACACGGATCTATTTATTTTAAACAGAAAAATTTAAAAAGCCAGGAAGAAATGGGCACCTCTGTGAGTCTCCTCCTCCTGGTGGATGGGGGCAGTCAGAATAGATGCCCCCAGGACCCTGGATTCTCATCCCAAGGGGCAGTTCTCGAGGCTCCTGGCAGAAGCAAGATTAAACACAAGGATGGCTTATGGCCGGAAAGGCAGTGACGATTCCAGAACACCTGTTCTTGCAGTTTCCCAGAAATGCTCAGAGAGACGTTGAGTTCATTTTCTGCGGCTGCTGTAAACGCCACTACAAACCTGGCCTAAAGCAACACACATTTATTCTCTCACAGTTCTGCAGGTCAGAAGTCCACAACCAGTTTCGCTGGGCTGGGTTCCCCTTGCTGGCTCGGCCACATCCCCTCCAGAGGCTCTAGAGGACGTGTCCTCGCCTTGCCTTTCCGAGCTGCATTTCCAGCTCCTAGTGCTGCTTTCTTGGGCTCTGGGCTCACGGCCCCTCCTACAACTTCAAAGCCAGCAGCCCAGCATCTGGCTTCAGTGTCACACTGACTCCCCCTCTGCCACTATCCATGACCCTGGAGACGGTGCTTACAGCCCACCTGCACAATCCAGGATAACCTCTGGACCCTGAATTCGATCACATCTGCAAAGCCCCTTTTGGCATATGAGGGGACATTCACAGGTTCCAGAGATTAGGACCCCAATAGGCTTTGGGGTCTATTATTTAGCCGACCACAGATACAGTCACACAAAGACAGTATTAACATGGTCACACAGATAGACCCAGACACACACACACACACACACACACACACACAGACGCTGTCAGCAGAACCTCACACTCATCTGGTCACACATAGTCCCACATCGGTCCCACACACCCCTCACCTCCAAACCTCTTCCCATCAGCCTGCTCAAGGCAGATTTGGGAAGCCTCAGAGCTCCCTTCCCTGGCCCACGTGACAGCCTTCCTTTCCCTGATAAGAGCATGCAAGTCCCAGCGTCCCCTCTCCCTTAGAAGCCCTTCTTCCCTGCTGCCTTCAGAATCCAAGCTATCTTGAGGCCTTAAAGCCAAAGGTCTAGTTCTGAGCCCCACACAGTCCACCCTACTCTGCAGTCACCTGCTCACAGCTATGCCTTGCTGCCACACCCTACGGGGTTTCAGAGCACAGGAAGAGAAAAAGATTAAAAGAAAATCAAAGGTCACCAAGCAAAAACTCTTAAAGGGTGATTGTGAGTGTGTACCACAGTGCCTGAGTTGGGGAGCTCGGCAACTGCTGGACGGAGGTCTCAGTCCTGGCTGAGCCAGAGCACTCGGGCCTGGGGCATGGACGAGGCTGGACAACAACTCCACTAGAGCTTGGCTCCGGTCAACCTGAGGAGAGATCACATTTCTGATCCCCACTAAGTGCTAGTCCTAGGGGCCAGATTCCATGGACCCACCAGAGGCCTGCTGCAGGTGAGTGCTGGCATTCAGGGTCATCGCTCGGGAAGCCCTCCACGGCCTCACCTCACCCTGCTCGCTCCCTGGGGCTTCATACCTGCTTATCCACAATCTCCCCCCAACACCCCCAGGCTCAGGATTCTAGGGACTCCTTCAGCACAGAAGGCATCAGGGGTCTGTTCCCCAGAGGGGCTCGGACTCTGCGGGTGGTCTAGGCATCCGCCTGGGCCCCACCAGAGGGTGCCATGAGATGAGTGGCATGGGGAGCTGAGGAGCAGCTGGGCCAGGGGGTGAGCCTGGCTGTCTGCTGAGGCCAGCTCTGTTCTAGGCTCCCAGGGGAGGGGCAGGGAAGAGAGGAAAAGGGATCGTGAAGGCCCTGTGGACACCTCGTTTTCGGCTTTTGACCTGGCCTAGGCTGGCGTGTGGGGAGCACAGGGGAAGGGAGGTGCAGAGCAGGAAGGCGCAGCCTACCTTGGGTCAGGGTGGCCAGTGCCTGCCCCGGAGTGACCCCATTTCACCAGCAGGCGGCACAGCCTTAGAGCAAACCCCACCTACTCCCTCCATACGCCCCCCACCCCAGGTCCTGAGGAGAGATTTCTGTCCCCGCTGAGTGCCTGGGGTCACCTGGAGGGATGGGGGCGCATCTGAGCCTGGGGCCCCGACTCAGTAGGGCATGGGGGGGGCGGTGAGGCAGCGCCAGGGTCACCGTGCACGCACCTGTTGATGCCGCAGCCCCCGCAGCGTGGAGCTCCTTGTGGCTGCAGTGCGGGAGCTGCTGCAGGCCACGTTCGAGGACCTGAACCAGGAGCAGCTGAAGCGCTTCCGCCACAAGCTGCGGGATGCGACCCTGGACGGCCGCAACATCCCGTGGGGGCGGCTGGATGGCTTGGACGCCATGGACCTCGCAGCCCAGCTGACCCACTTCTACGGGCCGGAGCCTGCACTGGACGTGACCAGAAAGACCCTGAAGAGGGCGGACATGCTGGACGTGGCCGCGCGACTCAAGGAGCAGCAGCTGCAGCGTGAGCGTGGGCGGGGGGTTGCCTGGGTCTCTGCCTCCGGGTTGGCCTCCGCCTGAGCACAGTCTGGGCCCCGGGCCTCATCCTTCCCGCTTCCCTGTAAAAGGTCCGGTGCGCCCGCGGCTGGGATCCTGGGCATTCCTGAGCGTGCCCCTCTGCGCCCCGGCATCCCTGCACCCCTCCCGCTGCAGCCCCCGCCCGGCCCCTGCACCTTCGCGGGGCCTCACCACAGGTCTCCTTTCCAGGGCTCGGCCCCAGCTCCTCCACACTGCGCTCCGTGTCGGGTAGGTCTCTCTCCGTGGGAAGCGTGGGCCCTAAGCAGGTTAGTGACCCTCGGGTTAGGGGCCCTCGGACTGGCAGCACGTGTGTCGGAGGAGCCTGACAGCTGATCCCAGGGAGGGGAGCGCGTGGGAAGGCTGGCTGGGGAGGCAGCCCTGAACCCGGCGGCTTGGGGACCTTGGAGGCGGCCCATTGACACCGCCCGTCCCTTCCCGTCCCCATCCTCCCTCCTGCCCTCCCTGCCCCCCCCCCCCCCCCGGCGCCCACCAGAGTACAAGAAGAAGTACCGGGACCACGTCCTGCAGCAGCACGCCAAGGTCAAGGAGAGGAATGCACGCTCGGTCAAGATCAACAAGCGCTTCACCAAGCTGCTGATCGCACGCGAGGGCGCTGCGCTGCCCGACGAGGCCCCAGGGTGCGCGGAGGAGCTGGAGCCCAAGCCCCAGTGTGCACGGCGCTCCGACACCCACACCTTCAACCGCCTGTTCGGCCGTGACGAGGAAGGCCAGCGGCCCCTGACGGTCGTGCTGCAGGGCCCGGCGGGCATCGGCAAAACCATGGCGGCCAAGAAGATCCTGTACGACTGGGCGGCCGGCAAGCTGTACCACGGACAGGTGGACTTCGCCTTCTTCCTGCCCTGCCGCGAGCTGCTCGAGCGCCCGGGCACCTGCAGCCTGGCTGACCTGGTCCTGGACCAGTGCCCCCAGCGCAGCGCGCCCCTGAAGCCCATGCTGGCACGGCCGGAGCGGCTGCTCTTCATCCTGGACGGCGCGGACGAGCTGCCCCCGCTGGCGCCCCACGCGGCGCCCTGCACCGACCCCTCCCAGGTGGCTGACGCCGCGCGGGTGCTGGGCGGCCTGCTGGGCAAGACGCTGCTGCCCACCGCCCGCCTGCTGGTGACTGCACGCGCCACGGCGCCCGGGAGGCTCCTGGACCGCCTGTGCTCTCCGCAGTGCGCCGAGGTGTGCGGCTTCTCCGACAAGGACAAGAAGAAGTACTTCCACAAGTTTTTCCGGGACGAGAGGCTGGCGGAGCGTGCCTACCGCTTCGTGAAGGAAAACGAGACGCTCTTTGCGCTGTGCTTCGTGCCCTTCGTGTGCTGGATCGTGTGCACCGTCCTGCGCCAGCAGCTCGAGCTCGGCCAGGACCTGTCGCGCACCTCCAAGACCACCACGTCCGTGTACCTGCTGTTCATCATCAGCGTGCTGAGCTCCGCACCTGCCGCCGATGCTCCCCGGATGCGGGCCGAGCTGCGCAAGCTGTGCCGCCTGGCCCGCGAAGGCACCCTCGGGCACCGGGCCCAGTTCGCAGAGAAGGACCTGGAACGACTGGAACTTCGCGGCTCTAAAGTCCAGACACTGTTTCTCAGCAAGAAGGAGCTGCCAGGGGTACTGCAGACGGACGTCACCTACCAGTTCATGGACCAGAGCTTCCAGGAGTTTTTCTCGGCGCTGTCCTACCTGCTGGAGGAGGAGCGGGATCTCCAGGCACTTCTGTGGGGCGAAAGCCACCTCACGCTCACCACGCGCTTCCTCTTCGGGCTGCTGAACCCAGATCGCGTGTCCGACATGCAGCGCCACTTCGGCGTGGTGGTTCCGGAGCACGTGAAGCGGGATGTCCTGCTGTGGATGCAGGAACAGGGCCAGGGCCGCCCTAGGGCGGCACCTGAGAAGACGGCAGGGACGGAGGCCGTGGAGGACGCCGAGGAGCCCGAAGAGGAGGAGTGTGAGCCCAACTACCCGCTGGAGGTGCTGTACTGCCTGTACGAGACGCAGGAGGATGCCTTCGTGCGCCAGGCCCTGCGCTGCCTGCCGGAGCTGGAGCTGGAGAGGGTGCGCCTCAGCCGCATGGACCTGGTCATCCTGAGCTACTGCGTCAGGTGCTGCCCGCCCGGGCAGGCCCTGCGACTGGTTAGCTGTGGGCTGGCCCCCGCACAGAAGAAAAAGAAGAAGAGCCTGATGAAGCGACTGCACAGCAGCCTGGGCGGCAGCTCGTGAGTCCGCGGGGGGGCACGTGTGTCCGTGCATCCATCCCTGCAGGAGGACTGGGTCCACACCCACCTCCTGCTCCCCCAGAGGAGCCCACCCCCTTGTAAAGCAGCCTCCCAGTGTCCCTCTGTCCGTGTCCTTCCCCGGGGAGCCCTGGCCCTGCCAATCCCCAGCCGTCCACATCCATGGCAAACCTCCGAGCATGGCTATGCGGCTCGCCCCAGCTTTCTCATACAGTCTGGAATGCCCCATGCCTGCTGTGCCCTGACCTTGGCACCTGTTCTTCCCTCCGTCCAGAACACTCTGTTTGCTATCTATCATCAGCACTTTCCCAGGCTCCCCCAGCTGGCCTGGGACCCCTTTGCCCCCAGAAGTGCCCTATAGACCACTGTATGCCATGACCTCCACTCAGCTCTGTCTCCTTCCCCACACCCTCAGCTCCTTCAGGGCAAGTGGTTCTAGCTCCAACCGGCACTTGACCCCCTGCTCAGCATCTGTTCAGATGACAAATGTCGGGATGTCGGGAAGGGCTGGAGCTGGGGCTGCCCACTGCAGGTGCCAGGGTTGACCCACCTCAGAATGTGGGTGACATGCCCCCTGCTGGACCCACATAGACTGCTCCAGCATGAAGGTGCCTGCGGCCACCGATGAATAATTTCACTCTGGGTTTGGCGTGAAGGGGATAGAGGGATCCTGGCTCAGTTTAGGGTCAAAGGGCAGCGTCAGCTCTGACACCTCAGGACCACAGGAAAGAGGTAGGGATTGATAGAGGACAGGTGGGCTTCACCTTGCTCTCTCTCCTAACAGTTCACAAGCCAGCAAGAGAAAACCCCAGCCCTCTCCACTACGTCCACTCTTCGAGGCCATGACTGACGAACACTGTGGTCTGAACAGCCTGACGTGAGTGACCATGCCCGCCCCCCTTGGAAGGGATGCAAAGCAGGATACTCTAGGCAGGGACAGAGGCATAGTAGCCCTGTCTGGAAAGGGCTCAGGGGACAGGCTGAGAGCCCGTGGCCTCTGGTGTCTCATGCTGGGGTCAACAGATTGTAGCCACACAGGGTGGAGGAGGAAGAGATGGGGACAGGGGCTCCATCACCAACTTAGGTGATAGGAAGGAGGGGTTAGCCCCAGTTTGAGGGGAAAGTAGGGTGCAGCTAAGCATTCTGGGAGAAGGATAAAGAAGACCAGAACGTGCTTTCCTTCCAAATTAAAAAAACAAGCAAACAAAGGAAGGCTGCTAGGTCCTGTTAGAAAGTGCCTGGCAGTCCCTGTGAACTCTCACAAGCCCCGGAGGGAAGTGTGCGGGGCACAGGCCTTGAGTCCAGGCCGCCCAGCCCTTGGCCAGGACGGTCTGTCTGAGCTCGTTTCTTCACCCACGAAATGCAGCCAGTCGATCCTGCCTCGAGGGTTGGTATGGGATCGAGTATGGCAACCTGAGTACACGACTGTCACCAAGGGAGCCGAGTAAGAGAAGCGGTAGGAACTCGTGCCGGAGGGGACATGGCGAGCGAGATAGGGACAGGCGCACGTCCACGGTGACTTGGCCACACAGCTCGGTAGGACGGTATTTCCAGCAACCTGGGGGGGAGCGGGGCCACGCAGGGGACGGGCACATCTGGCCTGCCAATCTGCCACGAAATGGAACGCGTAAGGTGTTCACCAGGCGTTATTTAGAGCAGCAGGAAAGGAGAACCAACACAGCCGCTCAGTCCTTGGGGACCGGCTAAGGGGATGAGCTGTGGCCTACCCTAGCTGGAGAGGCAACCATATGCAACTAAACGGGCTGGCACAGGCTCTAAACTGGCTCATCTGGAAGCTGACCGTGCAGTGCAGCCCGGCCCACTGCACGTGGCCCCCAGGTACACAGGGTGGTGGCGAAGGACAGGGAAACCCTGCTCCTCTGGCGCCAACACGTCTACAGACTGAAGCAGCCACCCAAGGGGTGCACGGTGCGCAGAGCTGGGGTAGAGCAGCGCGGCCCCGGGGCCTGGAGGCAGACCCGTGTGCTCTGACCGCAGGCTGTGCCGCTGCAAGCTGCCTGACTCTGTGTGCCGCGACCTGTCTGAGGCCCTGAGGGAGGCCCCGGCCCTCACAGAGCTGGGCCTTCTCCACAACCAGCTCAGCGAGGCGGGCCTGCGCATGCTCCTCGAGGGCCTGGCCTGGCCCCAGTGCCACGTGCAGAAGCTCCGGTGAGACCTGGCCCGGAGGAGCCCCGGGAGGGCCGGGGGCAGGGCGGGGGCAGAGGCGGAGGGCCGGGGCCCCCCAGTACGCCTGAGGCCCCCCTTCCCCCAGGGTGCAGCAGCCCAGCCTCCAGGAAGCGCCTCAGTACATCATCAGCATCCTCAGACAGAGCGTGGCGTTGTCCACCCTGGATCTCGGCGACTGCCAGCTGCCGGGGCCCGTGGTCACCTCCCTGTGTGCGGCCCTGCAGCACCCAGGATGCCGCCTGCAAACCCTCAGGTAGACGCAGGGGCGGGAAAGGTGCTGCCAACGCAGCCTCTCAGACCTGGCTTGGGCTGGGGGACTGGGGATGCCCCCCGGACCCTGAAGAAGAGCCCCTCCCAGGGCCCCCCGAGTGGCCACACTCAGACCCTGTGCTCCAGAGCCCTGGCCCCAGCCCTTGGCTTCCAGCACCCAGCCAGACCAAACGTCCACTTGTCGTCCGGTGCCCATGTGAGTCGGCCCGTGATCCCCAAGCCCATGGACTCCCCCAGAGGCTCTAGCTCCCAGCCCCTGACCCCTTCCCCAGCCTCTGGCACCGTGTGCCTGTAGCACAGCCCAGGCCAACATCACATCACTGCCCCCGCACGGCTGTCCCCCCAGCCCTGGCCTCAGTTTCCCCAACCAAATCCTGCTTGTCTTCCGTGTGCACGGCCACAGTCTGACCTCCGTGGAGCTGAGCAAGGAGTCACTGAAGGAGCTGCAGGCAGTGAAGACAGCAAAGCCGGGTCTGGTCATCATCCACCCAGCCCTGGACAGTCACCCCAAGCCTTCCAAGGGACTCAGCGGTGCACTCTGAAGCCCTGAAGGTCAGAGGGATGACTCCAGTCAGCCCTACGGAGTAGATTTCCTCATCCCACGGGCAGGAGGGTGTTGCTCTCCGCTCTGGGCAGCTCTTGAGCCCAAGAGGTTGGGGGCAGGCAAACGGGAGGTGTCCCCTCCACTCACAGCCTAGGCACAGGTTGTGCCTCTGTCTCAGATGCCCAGGAACCCCTCCTCCCCCACCACCACCGCTGCTCCACCCACCTTTCTGTCTTGGGGCCCTCGAGCCTTCCCCCAACAGAGGCCACCAGCAGTGACGACCCCAACAGTTCCCAGTTACCCTGCACCTGCCGTGCATTGGCCATTACTTGGTGTGCTCAGTGCAGAGGGACCCCTTCGCTGACCCCATCCCCATCTGTATACAGGCCCCACAGCCCTGCCTCTGGCCACAGGGGACCAAGCAGGGGCTGACCTCTGACCAAAGGTGGGCGTCCCTCCCCAGGAATTTGGGGGTTGGTCATCCCTGAGGCTGTGTGGTTCTAGTCCAGAGGTGCCCATTCACTGTCTGGGTCTTCAGGGATGAACACCAGGGGAAAGGGGAGACGGAGCAGCCCCCAACACTGATAATACATTCTCCTTTGAATGAATGAATGAATGAATGAATTAATTAATTAATTAATCCTGGATTCATTTCTGCTGATTTCTGTTGTACGCGGCCAAGCACCCTAACGACTGTTCACAATCTTTCCTCTGATCCCCAACCTGTCCGCAGGGGGTGGGGCTGTATTCCCCATTTCCCAGGAAGGGAACTGAGGCTCGGGATTGCAGCCTGACCAGAGGGAGCTCTGAGGTGAGGCCTGGCTTGGATGGACAGGCCAGCGGTGCACAGCCCCCAAAGCCTCGGGTCTCTGCTCAACACCGCGGGGCTCAGCCAGTTCCTGAGACCTCAGGTCCAGGTGGATGAGGACCAAGGGGGTCAGTGCCTTCCCTGCTCGGGGGAAATCCCCCTTCCATCATCAGTGTTCAAGTCCAGCCATTCATCCCACAAAACAGACAAAAACCCCTGCCCTCCTGCACCTGCCAGGAAGACAGACTAACAGGTTTAGACAGGGGCCAGCCAGGGCTTTGGAGGAGCGTAAAGCAGGGCCAAGTGCAGGGAGACCATGTGGCCCAGGGGTTCTGGTTACAGGTAAGGAGTCTAGGAAAGTCTAACCGAGCGCAGGGTGCTTGAAAACAGAAAGATGTCCAGCCCCGAGCCCTGAGAAGGTCTGGACGGGAAAATGTTCCAGGCAGAGTTACAGCAAGGACAAGGCCGTGACGAGGAGTGTCTTGGGCAGCTCCGGCTGCCGTGACAAAACGCCATAAACTGGGGGGCTTCCCAGAAGTTTATTTCTCCGGCGCTGGAGCGAGGGTCCAGGTGGTGAGGCCCCTCCTGCCGCAGAAGGCTGTCCTCTGGCTCCCTCTTCTCTCAGTGGCTCCCAGGCCTTTCCTAGAAGGGCTCTAATCCCACTCTAATCCCAGCTCTTGACCTCCTTAACTCCCGAAGCCCCCGCTTCCACATAAGGTCAGATTTGGAATCCGATTTCAACCCGAGGATTTAGGGGCACACATTCAGTCCATAACAGGGAGCATGCTTGGACCGTTGCAGAAGCAGCCGGAAGGCCGGAGTGGCAGCCGGGGCGAGAGGAGGGGATCAGGGTGGGGTTGGGGTGCCAGCTGGCCGTCCTCCAGACAAGGTGGGCACCGCCCCGCAGGCCTCTGAGCAGAAGGCCCCGGCCCGACCTGGGCACTGTGAGGGTGGCCGCGGCTCGGTGTCCACAGGGACCAGGACTCTGGAGGGCAGAGCAGAGCAGAGAGCCCGCTGGGCCTCAAGAGGCTGCCTGGGGTCAGGGGAGCGGGGAGCCCTGGCAAGTGAAGAACCAAGTGGGTGTGGGGACAGCACAGGCCTCAGCAGCTGCACAGGCGGTGTCCGGCACCTGTGGGGGGAGGCGAGGGGGGGGGCCCCCCCGAGAGAAGCTGCTTTCCAGGGGCTCCTTGGGTCTGGGCGTCTCTGGCTGTGCCTAGTGCCGGAGCACAGGCTTGTGGCTCAGGCCGGGCCAGGGAGTGCAGCTGGTGCCGCCCTGGAGCCCCCGTGGGCCTGTGGGGAGGGGGGCCAGGAGCAGGGGGGGCCTGGAGCAGAGGCAGGGGGGGCTCCGGGAGCAAAGGGGGGGGCCAGGGGGGCCGGGAGCGGGGGGAGGGGCCGGGATTGGGGGGAGGCCGGGAGCAGGGGGGGCGGGGGGGGGGAATGGGGGTGTGTGCAGGGGGCAGGGGGCTCCGGGAGCAGAAGCGGGGGGGGGGGGGGGGGGGGGGGCGGGAGCGGGGGATGGGGCCGGGAGCGCGGGGGGGGGGGGGGGGGGAGGCCAGGAGCAGAGGCGGGGGGGGGGGGGGGGGGGCCGGGAGCAGGGGGGGCCTGGAGCAGAGGCAGAGGGGGCTCCGGGACCAGAAGCGGAGGGGGGGGGCCGGGGCCGGGAGCAGGGGGGGCGGGCCGGGCCGGGAGCAGAGGCGGGGGGGGGGGGACCGGGGGGGGGGGTGCCGGGAGCAGAGGGGGGCCGGGACGGGGGGGCGGGCCGGGAGCAGAGGCGGGGGGGGGCCGGGAGCAGGGGGGGCCTGGAGCAGAGGCAGGGGGGCCAAGGTGCGGCGAAGTGAAGGGCTCCTCCGGGAGCGGACGGGGCCCCCCACGAGCCACGGGCCCTGGTCCTCTATCCATCCCAGGCACGTCCCTAAGGTCACTGTTCAAAGTGTGCTCCTCACGCGGTTTCCCGCGGGTTCCACCCGCGCAGCAGCGGCGCCAGGCCCGCTCCCCGGGGGAGGAACCCCGCCCCGCCCCGCCCTGGGGAAGGGACCTCACCTCTCCCACCGCCCCCTCCGGCCCCACCACCGCTCCGCCCCGAGGGAGGGACCCCGCCCCGCCCTGCACCGCCCCGGGGGAGGGACCCCGCCCCGCCCTGCACCGCCCCGGGGGAGGGACCCCGCCCCCCTCCGCCCCCCGCCCCCCTCCGCCCCGCCTTCCCCTCCTCCCGCCCCGCGCGGCCCTGGGGGCGGGGACAGCACGACCTTCCGGCGACGGGGCGGCCGCGGTGAGCCCCGCCCCCCAGGCCCAGCCAAGCCCCGCCCCGCCCCGCCCCACCCCGCTCCCGCCTTGCTGAGCGCCGCTGTCCGGAAGACTGAGGCCTCCTCACTGCCCCTAAAAGATCGGGGCTCGTGGGGGTGCGGCTTGGAGAGACCCTGAATTGAGATCCTAAGGTGGGAGTTCGGGGGCCCAGAGGGGTCTCTGGACATCAGTTTTAGGAGTCTGAGCATCTCTTGGGGTGAAAGTTTCCTGGGGTGTCTCAAAAGTGGGGGCTGCCCGGGTGGCCCGCACCCCTCCCCACCCGCTGCTGGATGCATCACCCAAGTTGGGGGGGGCTTTGGGGTTTAGGGACAGTCCGAGGAGGGAGGAAGGGGGAGGCCGGGCCAGCGGTGGGAGCCGTGACTCCCCCTTTGCAGACCGCGCGGCTGAGCACGCCTTTCCATGGAGGATGCGGGTGAGGACCCCACCGTATTCGCTGCCCATTCCCTGCCCAGTGACCCCCGGCTCTTGGCCACCGTGACCAACGCGTACTTGGGCACACGTGTGTATCATGACACACTGCATGTGAGCGGCGTGTACAACGGGGCTGGTGGGGACACACACCGGGCCCTTCTGCCCAGTCCCCTCAATGTTCAGCTGGAGGCGCCTGCAGAGACAGGATGTGAGCTCACGGAGACGTTTGTCCTGGACACAAACACAGGTGACCACCATCCTATTCCCCCACCCGAGCCCCTGTTGCAGCTGAGGGGGAAACAGCAGCAGGCCCAGGAGCAGCCCCATCCCGGCCCCTCCCCCTCCCAGCTCAGGATGCCTCACTCACAAAGGGCTTCGGCTCTGCAGGGCCCCCCCAGCTGGTTGGAGCCTGGGTCCTCTGCAGACCGCCCTACTGGGTCCCCCTCCCAGCTGGTAGGAGCCTGGGGTCCTCTGCAGACTGCCCTGCAGGCTCCCCCCCAGCTGGTAGGAGCCTAGGTCCTCTGCAGACCGCCGTCCAGAGCCCCCCCCCAGTTGGTAGGAGCCTGCGTCCTCTGCTAACCGCCCTGTAGGATCCCCCCCAACTGGTAGGAGCCTGGGGTTCTCTGCAGACTGCCCTGCAGGGGCCCCCCAGCTGGTAGGAGCCTGGGTCCTCTGCAGACCGGGCAGTGAGGGCTCCCACGGCAGATCCACCACACTGAGGGGTTGGCCCTGCCCTTTGCCAGGCTCCTTTCTGCACACCCTGGAGGGCCCCAGCTTTCAGGCCTCCCAGCGCATCTACGCCCACCGCACACTGCCTCACGTCATGGCTTTCAGTGTGTCCATCACCCGTGTGGCCGTAGGGAGCTGGCCCATCATGGTGCTGCTGCGGTCAGCCTTCTCCCCGGAAAGCCCAGACCTGGACCTGCATCTGGGTCCTGATTTCCAAGGAGCCCGGTGAGGAGGGGGTCAGGGCCGGCCGGCACTCCAAGGAGGGAGCCGGTCCCTTAGACACGGCCGCTCTCTTGCAGGTACCTTTATGGCCATACGCTTACCCCAGAGCAACCTGGAGGGCCCCAGCAGGAGGTACACATGCTGTGGACACCAGTGCCCCCAGCCCTGACCCTTGGGGAAAGCGAGGAAGACCAGACCTGGGAGTTCTTAACCGTGGTGGGTGGCAGCCAGGCCGAGGCCCAACTCTGCTTCACTGAGGCCCTGCAGCTGCAGGCAGGGGGCACTCTGTACGCTGCGCATGCCCAGGCCTGGGCCCAGCTCTGGGCTACCTGTGGCCTGGATGTGGTGGGGCCCCTCCCCCTGCGCCAGGCCTTGCGTGGTGCCCTCTACTATCTGCTCAGTGCCCTGCCCCAGCCCGGGGCCCCAGGATATACCTGCCACGGTCTCAGCCCTGGGGGATTGTCCAACGGGAGCCGAGAGGAATGCTACTGGGGCCACGTCTTCTGGGACCAGGTATGCACCATTCCACCCCGCACGCGGCAGCCACGGGGCAGCCCGCAAACACGGAGGATGCTGTGCTGAGGGCGTAGCACAGCTGCCCGCTCTGCCCCCCGGGATGGGGCCTGCGATTTGGGAAGCACAGAGGCCACGGCGGAAGGGAAGGCTGCCTGGAGGAGGTGGGATCTCTGACAAAGAACATATAGGAGTTGGGTAGAAAAGAGTGATTCAGGCAAAGCGACCAGAAGGGACAAACACCACAGCTGGGCGGCACCTGCTGGAGCAACAGGGTACCTCCCCGGGGAACGGAGAGCAGCTCTCCGGCTGTAGAGCCATGGAGAGACCGTACCTGGGGAGTGACCCTGACAAAGGTGTGCTTGGGAAGGACCCTGGGGCACTGGCGGGAGCCCGGGGGAGGAGGGGGAGGCCTCGGCTGGTGCAGTGGGCGGCGCCGGGGTGCTACTGCATCCTCACCAGATCGTCCAGTAGCCAGAGGCCCGCTCCGGTGGAGCCGAGTCCCTCACCCCCGGTCGGGCAGTTGCCGAGCGGCGGTGCTCCATGCCCAGATTCTGGCCTTGCTCCCGGGGGCCGCAGATGCCCGCTGGGGACTAACCCAAGGAGCCCGGGGCCTGGAGATGGCGACGTGGGCTGGGGGTGCAGGCGGACAGCCTCGGAGGGCCCGGGAGGGAGCCAGCGGGCGGGGGCAAGGAGCTGGACAGAGCCCGGGGCCTTTCGGGAGGCAGCGTGGAGTGGGCTGGCTGGGCTGAGGCACATGGGGCAGGCGGGGACACAAATGGGGACACAGATGCTGGGGGAGCTCCTGAGCCAGAGGCACTTCCTTGCTCTCAGGATCTCTGGATGTTCCCGAACGTTCTGCTGTTCCAGCCGGAGGCCGCCAGGGCCCTCCTGGAGTACCGCATCCGGACGCTGGGTGGGGCCCTGGACAACGCCCGGAAGCTGGGTTACCAGGTGAGGGAGACCTGGCACCCACCCTACAGGGCCCCTGCGGGCTGGTGTCCCCACATCCCTCCTTGGCTTGCACCCATCCCGTCAGGTTCCCCTCTGGGTGGGGCTGGGATTCCTGGATTCTTCCAGGGGCTCGGCAGCACCCCGGCTCCAGGTCGGAGCAGCCTGGCCGGGCCCAGCTCGAGTCCCCTTGCCGCCCTGGCCTGTGACGGGGACACAGTGGGGTGCCCCTCCGTGAGGGCATCCGCACAGGCGGTGCACCCACTTCTGTCCTCTGTGGCTGGGGAGTGGGTGGACCGCCCAGAGCCCTGGAGGCTGCTCCTCCCCCCGCGGCCCTCAGGGAGCCAAGTTTGCCTGGGAGAGCGCAGGCTCTGGTAGGGAGGTCTGCCCCGAGGACATCTACGGCACCCAGGAGATTCACATCAACGGAGCTGTGGTGCTGGCCTTCCAGCTGTACTATCACGCCACCCAGGTGAGGGGTCCCGGCCCCCCAGGCCCGGGCGCGCCCCACCCCCGCCACAGCAGGCCCTCGGAGGGGCCCCAGTGAGACCTCGGGTGGCGTGGCCCCCCGCCCACCACCCGTGGCTTCCCCAGGATGTGCAGCTCTTCCGCGAGTCCGGTGGCTGGGACGTGGTCAGGGCTGTGGCTGAGTTCTGGTGCAGCCGCGTGGAGTGGAGCCCCGAGGAGGAGGAGTACCAGCTGAAGGGTGAGGCGTGAGGAGGGCAGGGCCGTCCCTGGGGGCGTGGGGGACGGTGGTCGGGGAGAGGTGGGGACAGCCGCGGCCGGTGGACGCTCCTCAGGGGCACATGGTCTCTGGCTTCGGCGTTGCCAGCCCCACGCAGGCTGCTGGCATCGGGGCAGGTCCCTGGGACCCTGTCCTGGACACCAGCTCCTGTCTGTGTGTGTAGGAGTCATGCCGCCCGACGAATACCACTCAGGGGTCGACAACTCCGTGTACACCAACGTCCTGGTCCAGAACAAGTAGGACCCAAGATCCCTGCGCCACTGCTCGCACGCCGGGGGGCCGGGGGGAGCTGGGCCTGCAGCTCCCTCTCCCTGCCTCCCCGCAGCCTGCGCTTCGCTGCGGCCCTGGCCGGGGACCTGGGACGGCCTGTCCCCACTGAGTGGCTGGCGGTGGCTGAAAAGATCAAGGTGCCCTTTGACCCGAGGCGGGACTTCCACCCTGAGTTTGACGGGTACCAGCCTGGTGAGCGCCCTCTGGCTGCTTTGGGCCCCTTCACCCTGCCCTGGACCCGTGTCCCTGCCTTCCTGCCCCCTCGCCCATCAGTGCCCGTCCCTCCCCAGGAGAGGAGGTGAAGCAGGCAGACGTGGTACTCCTGGGGTACCCCATCCCTTTCCACCTGAGCCCTCACACTCGCAGGAGGAACCTGGAGATTTATGAGGCTGCGACGTCCCCAAGAGGCCCTGCCATGACCTGGGTAAGGAGGCCGCGGAGGGAGGGGCGGGCCAGCGGTCCTCGGGGCGGCTTCACCCGGCGCCCCAGCCCCAGTTCCAGCCCCCAGCGAGGCTCCCCTCCAGCACGTTCTCTGACTCTGGCCCCAGAGCATGTTCGCCGTGGGCTGGATGGAGCTGAAGGATCCCCGGCGGGCCCAGGACTTCCTGGAGAGGAGCTTTGCCAACATTGCTGAGCCCTTCAAGGTCGGCGGCTCGGGTCAGCCCTCATGCCCAGCACACCTGCCTCCACCCTGGCCTCCGGGGTCGGGCGGTAGCCCAGCCTCAGGGGTGGTCACCACAGGGTCAGAGCCCGGCCTGGGGTCGGGGCGGCGGCCTGGCAGCCCGGCACTAACCGCGGTGCCCGGGCAGGTGTGGACGGAGAATGCGGATGGCTCTGGCGCTGTGAACTTCCTGACCGGCATGGGGGGCTTCCTGCAGGCGGCGCTCTGTGGATTCACAGGGTTCCGGTGAGTGGGGCGCCGGCCGGGAGCAGCCACGTGCCCCCCACTTCCTGCTCTCACCACTGCCTCCCTCCTGCAGGATCACCGGGGCTGGCGTGACCTTCGACCCCATGTGTCCGGCGGGGGTCTCTGCAGTGTGTGTCCAGGGCCTGTGTTACCAGGGGAACAGGCTGGACTTCTCCTTCTCTGAGGGTTCCGTGACGGTTGAGGTCAAAGCCCAGCCAGGACCCGGGGCCCCGCCGCTGGAGGCTGAGCTGTGGCCGACGCGCGCACGAGTCCCCTTGCTCCCAGGTGGGCAGCCAGCCCAGACTCACCGAAGCATCCAGAGCAGGTGAGTGCCCCAGGGCTGCCCCCTGCGTGTGTGCCCCCACTCCAGATGCCCCCTCTCCCTGCAGGGCACAGAGTCTCCTTCCCCCGCTCGGCTGGACGGATACAGAGGTCACTCCCGCCTGGAGCAGAGGCAGCAGGTTCCGCTCCAGGAGTTTCCTAGGAGAACTTTGAGGACATTAGACCCCTGCCCCACAACCCACGGGACCCCAGTTTCCTCGCCCTGGTGCTGTCTTGGGCACCCTGCACCTGCGTGAACAAGCAAGGCTTCCCGGATGTCTCCCAGGTCCTCCGGGCTGGCTCCTCCTTCTGTGGGCGCCCCCCTCCGGCTGCACCCACCCCTCCTCAGCACCCTCCTGGCCCCCTCCAGCCAGCAGCCAGGCTCACGGGCTCCTGGGAAAATCTGAATTCATTGGCCCAAAGTTCAAGACGGTCTGCCTCTAACCTGAGCCCCTCTGCAGCCGAGCCCTGCGTAGGCTGTGGGGTTCCCCCACGGCCTCACACTCAGCCACATCTGTGCCTGCCTTTGTGGGCCGATGCCCACGCCTGTACCTACACCGGTACCCTGCCCCAGGACCCCACAGTGTGGGGCGGGTGGGGCTCAAGCCTCCGTGTAGGGGATGGCAGGGCCGAGGGGCAGGAGGCACACTTGGCCCCCTGCAGAGTCCTCGGGACTCTCCTTCACAGACCACAAAGGAACTTCGCGTGTCACACAGGCAAGGGGCAGGCACAGCAGAATCAAGGTGTGCTCAGCATCCTCAGTCCGTGGCTCCTCCAGCCTCCGGGCCACTTCAGTGAGGCTGCACCATTTCCATCACGGGCCTTTCTCAGCCAAGAAGAGCGGGGGCAGGGTGCAGAGCAGGACCATGCACCTCGCCTCCGACCAGCCTGGAGAACTCAAGGCCACAGGCCTGGGCCCACCTGTCCTGACAGGCTGCCCCTCCTCCTGGGGCCTCAGCCCATCTGTGGGCACATCCAACTTGGGGCCTTGGGGGTTTCTCAATGAGGGGAGATGGTACCCGCTGCCAAAATTTTGGTGAGAGCCGTGCCACGTGCACCAAGTGTGCCTGAAGAATTAAAGGTCCATGCTGGGAGAAAGTCTGCTGCCTTGAGGAGCTGGCGCCCCCCTTCCTGCCGAGAGTGAGGCCTACATAAGGGATGGGGTCACACAGGAAGTGCAGTGGGTGCTCGTACAGAGCCGACGGGGGGCCTGCCACTGTCCTTTGCTCGGGCCACCCACTGTCCCGCGTCTGTCCTGGCTGGACAGTTAGTCCAAGCTCTCCAAGAAGCAGATGGCCATGAGGAGGGCAGGTGGAGGCGACGAGGGGTCCCCGGGCTTGTCTCTGCAGCACGTGGTACGAAGGGTGGCCTCCGAGGGTGCACAGCAGCCTTGCAGATCCGCAGGGAGGTCGGTGCTGGTCCCTGCAGGCATGTGACCTCAGGGAATGAAGCCCGCACCTTGGAGGGCTTGCCCAGGTGCCCCAGGCTCTCCCTCACCCGCTGGCCACATGGCAAAGCCCAGGGCAGGTCGGCCAGAGCAGGGTGTGCTGGCGGGCACCGTCCCGGTAGAGCAGAGGCTTACCTTTGCAGCCCTGGAGCCCGGCGTGGGCACAGGTACTCCCGACGCTGATACAGCCCGGTCCCTCCTGCCTGTAGGTGCCGTGTACGTGTGCCTCTACCTGTACACAGCGAGGGGCCCTCCGCGGAGACCAGGGAGGGTGGCCATACACGTGTGCCGGCCACGGCTGGTCAGGGCTCCATGGCAGCCACCGACCTGAATTTCACCGGGCCCCTCGGCCTGCCCAGGAGGCAGCCCGGGATGCAGAGGACCGCTTGCCACCCTCCCTGTGCCTGTCTTCACCACACACTGTGTCTTCAGCACCTGGGCACAGGCCAATCTCGGGGCCCCTCACCCGGTGTGGGGACCCGCAGACCATAGCAGGCTTGCTTGGGGGCATGCACATGGGTCTCACACCAGCTGATCCTCACTCCCAGCCTGTGAGCTGCTCCCTTCTTGGGCCAAACCCGGAGCTCAGGGTTGGCACACCGTATCCATCCTGGTCCAAGCGCTGGCACACTGCCCTTATCTGCGGTCCCACATGGGACCAGCACCTGGCGTGGGCCAGTGCACCGTGTCAGGCCCCAGGCCCCAGGCAGCACATCCCTCCCTGCAGCACACGTTCCAGCCCAGGGCAGGACACCGTCTAGCACCCTGTGTCAGCTAGGCCAGCTGTTGGCTGTCGCAGGAGAGAGGACTACTCGGAGGCTCCAGGTACAGCGGCGAAGCCGACCCCCCACACCCAGCCCAGGCTGATGGGTAGGCAAAGGGGGCTCCTTGGGTGGGGACGGAGCCCTGGGTGGGGTGCCCACAAGCCTGAACCACCCTGAGGTTAAGGCCCCTGCAATTAGCCTGCCCTGTCATTGGACCAGCCACAGTGAGGCCGGAGGGACCTCACCCCCAGCCACACAGGGTGTGTGCATGCTTAGCCACCCCCCTCTTTGCCAGCTCTGCTGGTTCCCAGGAAGGGGGGCCGTGCTCAAGGGAGGGAGACTATACAAGGACGCGTATCTAGTACCAGGGATGCTCAGCCCCCCAGTTTTCACCTTCTGCCTAAACGCATGTGTGTGGGATGCACGTGGGCACGGGTGACTGGAGGGTCATGCCTCTGCACTCCCGTGTCTCTGTGTCCAGCGTCACTGACCCAGGAGGGACGGAACCCACTGTGGGGATCACGATCTCTCAAAACAAGGAATGCAGGAGTCCTAGGGACAGACAGAAGGACCCAAACAAGGGGGCTGGCACTCGCCTGACCCACCAACGGAAACATGCAGGGCTAGGAAGAGGGGTGTCCTCCCAGGGACTCCTGGAGGGCACAAGTCCACACAAGTGCACACGCAGAGGGGGAAGGGCACACGTGTTCTGGAAGAGAGACCACTAAACCACAGGCCCAGCAGGGCAGCAGACATCAAAACCCCGAGTTCCCGAACTGCGTTCTAAAATACTCTGGCGCCTCCACCCCAGAAGCCACAAGCCACCCAGTGCCTGAGTGAAGGCAACCATCAGGGCACGGCCCAGCACAAAGAATGGGTCATCCAGCCGTCATGCTGGGGTCAGTCCATGCAGCATGGGATGCAGCTTGGGTGGCCCCTCGGGTGGCTCCTCTCCCACCCCAGCAAAAAGCCCAGGAGGCACTTTCTGGAACCAGGCACTTTTAATTGTGAAACCAAGCCTGAGTCTGATGGGCGAGGAAGGAGGGTGCAGCCTGGGCACAGTGTTGGGGGGGGGCATCACAGTTGGAGTGAGGCCACCAGGGTCCACACAATGGATCTTCAGGGTCAGCGTTAGGCACCCAGGCTGGGGTGGCAGGGGGCATCAGGCCCTGTGCTGGAGTCAGGGTTCTGGGCGGGGGTGGGGGGACAGGATGGAGTCCCTGGGGACACTGCCCTGGGGGGTGGTCCTGGGGTCAGGGTCCATGGGTCAGGATGGGGACAAGGCCCAGCCCATCAGTCATAGTCCGAGTCCTCGAACTTGGTGCTAAAGAAGGCTGCAGAGTCCTTGGCCAGCCGGGACAGGTGCAGCGCCCCAGTCACCACCAGCGCCAGCAGCAGCAGAGGCGGCACCAGCGCCCACATCGTGGCCAGGATGTTGTAGCACTTGGCTTTGGAGCCAAATCGCCGGGCCGCCTCCAGGTCTCCAGCCACCTTCTGGTCTCGGGCCTGTGGACCAGGGGCAGAGCCAGGTCTCTACACGTGCGGGGGGGGGGGGGGGGGGGAGGCCATCCCTTCCAGCATCAGCTTCCAAGGACCCTCTGTGGGTGGGGAGTCCTGGGGTGCCGAGAAGCCCCAGGAGCTGAAGCCTGGGGGGCTTTGGTCACGGGAGTCCCCCGAGTGTGAAACATCATTTGATGAAAGAAGCCCCCTTGCATAGCGCCCCCCAGCCTGTGCCCTCTGACGCGCCCGCCTCGCCCCGGGTCGGACCCTGCGCTTCCTGAACAGCACCTGCCTCAGCGCAACCACCCGACGAAGTGAGGAGCAGGTCCGCGGCCTGGCGGATCCAGTGTCCCTCCCACGGGCGGTGCCCCCGGGACGCCCCGCAGCAGCCTCCCAGCCCCTGCACCAGCCCCGAGGGACCCCGCCCGCCTGCCCACCTTGATGGAGTAGGCCAGCGCCAGGAAGCCGAGGCAGCACAGGTTCAGGTAGAGGGTGCTGAACACCGACCAGAGCAGGTGGTCCCGGGGCGGGGGCCTCGGCGCCCCGACGGCCAGGGCCGTGTGCACCGCGCCGTCCGCCTTGCGGGGCGCCGGGGCCCGGGGGTCCTCGCGGGGGTACGCCGTGTCCATGGGCTCCAGCGCCGTCTCCTCCGGCTCGGGCTCCCGGGCCGGGGCACCGGGGCCGCTTATACCGGCCGCCCGCCGCGGCCCCGCGGGCGCCGCCCGCTCAGTGTGACGACCAATGACGGCCCGGCCCGGGGCGCCGCCCCGCCCCCGAGCCCCGAGACCCCGCCCCCCGCCCCGAGACCCCGCCCCCGAGGCACTGAGCCCCGCCCCGAGGCCCCGCCCCCGCCTCCCGAGGCCCCGCCCCTGAGCCCCGGAGCCCCGCCCCAGGCCCTGAGCCCCGCCCCGAGACCCGCCCCCGCCCCTGAGCCCCGCCCGCGCCCCCGCCCGGAGACCCCGCCCCGCGAGTCTGCCCCCCACCCCGGAGCCCCCGCCCCGCCCCGCGAGAGGCCCCTGCCCCCCGACCGCCCCGCCCCCGCCATGCTAGCCTCCCCCCCCCAGCCCCCGGAGCTCCCGCCTGCTGACCTCCCGCCACCCGGAGTGACCCCCCCGCCCCCGAGGCCCTGAGCCCCGCCCCCAAGACCCCGCCCCGCCCCGGAGCCCCGGAGCCCCCGCCCCTCGATGCCCGCCCCTACCGGAGACCCCGCCCTCGAGCCCAGGATCCCCCTCCCCGCGAGGCTGCCCCCCGCCCCGCGGCAGCCCCCCTGCCCCCCGACCGCCCCGCCCCCGCCACGCTAGCCTCCCGCCACCTGCCCCCGGAGCCCCCGGAGCCCCCAGAGCCCCCGCCCGCTGACCTCCGGTCCCCCGGAGTGCCGGCCCCCCGCCGTCCCCCGCTCTCCCAGAGCCCCCCCCCGCCCCCTAGCCCCCGCCCGCTGATCGCCCCGCGCCCGCCCCCGCCCCGCGAGCCTGCCCCCTCCAGCCCCCGCTGTCCCTCCCGGGAGCCTCCCGCCTCCCCGCCGGAGCCCCAGCCGACCCCCTACCTGAGTCCCTCCCGCTCCCCGCTGCCGCCGCCGCCCTCCGCACCCCGCACCCCTGGAGGCCCCACCCCCACCCCCACCCCCAAGCAGGCCCCCCCAGGCCCCAGCCTCGCTGACCCGCCAGCTCCCCCACCGCAGGCGGCTGGGCCGAGGGGCAGGGGTGTGCTCCGCCCGGGCTGCCCGCCCTGCCCACCGAGCCCCGGCCTCGCGGCCCAAAGGACTCGGAGGTGCCCCTGGGGACCCCGGTGGGTGCTTGTCGCCTCAGCTGTGGAGAAGGGCTGGAGGCCCCCAGGCTTGGGCCCTTGACCCCGACCCCCAGCCCGCGCCCCAGCCCTGCCCCGGGCTCCCCGGTCTCCTTCCCACCCCCCACCCCCCCCCGGCGTCCAGCGCAGGGAGCGGCCCCAGGCGACCACGGGGTGGGACACAGGAGGCCTCGCGCCCGCCCGCCCAAGTCCGGTGCTGCCCAGAGCTCTGGGCCATGGGCACAGGGGCTGGCCCCGCTCCCTGAGCCGACGGCTGCTCAGCTTCCTCGGGGCCCTCGGGGGGTGGAGGGGGAGCTCAGGGCTGTTCTGGGCCCCCTGGAGGGTCCACAGCCTCTTGGCTGACCCTTCCGTGGAGGGGCCACACTTCTCCGTAGCCGGAGTCGCCTACTCTGGCAGAAGGGCCCTGGGGTCTCCCACCTAACTGCCCCGCAACCTCCTGTTGGGGTTGTTATAACGAAGTGCCATAGGTTTGGGGGGCTCATAGACAAAGGACATTTAGGGTCACAGGTCTGGAAGCTGGGAGGCAGGCAGAGTGGGCCGGTTCCGGCGAGACCCTCTTCCTGGGTGCAGTGGCTATCTCCTCACTGTGAGCCACAATTGGGAGGGGCTTGTGGGGTCTCCTACAACGACACTGATGCTATCATGACCCACCTACTTCCCAAAGCCCCCACTTCCTATGCCATCACTTTGGGTTTTAGGATTTCAACATAAATTCAGGAGGACACAAACCAGGGGCCGCCAGACACATGGAGCCCCATGATTCCTTGGGCCCATCACACCCCATCAGAAAGGGACCAGGATGATGCTTTGCCCATTGACATATTGTGATACTGTGATTTATAAGATGTATATTTTTCTTCATCCCCATTTCTGGCACAGAACCCCTAAAGCCTTGGGAATTTCTCAAGTGATCAAGGTGTTTTTGTTATGTTAATGAGGCAAGTTCTGAACCCCTGGGTTGGGGACCACAGGTGACCTGGGGCACTGCCTCTCCCCACCCCTGGCCCTGGGCCTCTCTTCCATCTGGCTGCTCCCCACCCGTGTCCATTCATAGGCTGCTGGGGACGTGGGAAGGAGAACATCCCCCGACTCCGTGGGCCTCTCTCGCGAATCAGTACAACCAAGAGGTCTCTATGGAGGCCGAGAAAATTAAGGCCATTCCACTTTAAGTTCAGCGTTAGCACAAGTCCAGCCATCCCAGGCCCCTGGGAATAAGAACTGAGATTTACATTACTTCAGTTACAGGAAGCAAACAGCTTGCAGCTAGATGTCCTAGAAAGCCCCATATTAGAATAAAAACAGAGCTCAATGCCCTTGAAGGGGCCATATCAGAATGTAAACAGAACTTGAGAAATCCCCCCCCCCCCCCCCCCCCCCCCCCCCCGTCCTGGAGGTCCCCTAGACCAGCCCAGAAAACTAAGCTAAAACCCACCTCGGGGTCCAAGTCCCTGCTCCGCTGTGTCGGGTGCACTTGGACCCAAGCTCGAGCTTGTAAATAAACCCTCGTGTGTTTGCATCGGTTTCGGCTCCTTGGTGGTTTCTCGGATTCGCGATCTTGGGCACAACAGTCACGGAGGGCTCTGGGGGCGTCCCACGTGGTCAGAGCACAGGTGCGGCCCCGGCTGGTGACAAGGCTCCAGGGACAGTTGGTAAAAATTAACCCTGGCCCCTGCGACCTGCTGAGCCCTTGGGCAGAAGGGCTAGGAATGGAGGCAATGCTGACGCCCTGCGGGGTCTGACACCTGCTTAGTGCCTGTGGCCTGTCCTCCCACCCTATGCCCCCCCACCCCCTGCACGTTGGAACTGGGTTAAACTTAAGTATAAAGCTGCCAGTGGGCAGACCTGGTGGCGCAGCGGTTTAGCGCCACCTGCAGCCGGGGTGTGATCCTGGAGACACAGGTAGAGTCCCATGTTGGGCTCCCTGCATGGAGCCTGCTTCTCTCTTTGCCTGTGTCTCTGCCCCTCTCTTTTGCTCTCCCTGAATAAATAAATAAATAAATCTTTAAAAAAATAAATAAATAATAACCTGCCAAATGGGTTTAATTGGGAAGAGTAGAAAATTACAATTCTAGAAAGGCAAACGATGGCAAAACTGTACAAAAATCCCAAAACAGAGGAACAAAGATCTTTCATAGATTGGGGGGGGGGGGGGAGGGAGGGGCTGTTGTAAAGGAGAAGTCCATTGGAGTGACCTGGGGGCTGGGGGTCCTGGCTTCCCACTGGTTAGGCTGTCACTGTCGGCGGGGGGTGGTGGCTGTGCCCCACCTGGATGAGCTGTGCTCTCCCGGGATGCCCTGTGCTCCCACCTGCTGCGGGGTGGCTGGCACTCCCTGGCTAGGTGTCAGGGATGCAGGACCGCTCTTCGCCACTGGCCTCCCCACCGCCTTAGTTACTCCCTCCAGGGTTCAGGACCCTAATCTACATATGGGCCTGGGCCTGAGTCCATCTCTACCCTAAGACACCCAAGTTCTGAATGTGGGTCTGTTTGGCCCCCACCTGGGGAAGGCTCTGGGGGTCGGGGCTGATGGAGGCCTGAGGACACAGGCGACCACCTGCGCACACGTCACGTTCGGGACGAGACCCAGGCAGGACCTGGGGGCTTCACGCAGCACAGCTCATCCACTTCCAGGCAGTTTGGTCGGCTCCGAGCTCGGCCGCGGTGCCAGGAAACCCTGAGAACCCGCCAGCGCACAGATCCCACAACGCGTCCCTCGGCGGGGCCTTCGGCACCTGCAACCCCAGCCAGGCCGCGAGGGGACGGCCACTGCGCCGCGGGGGGGGGGGGGGGGCAGGCGCCTGGAAGCCCCTGGGCCTCGCCCTCACCCCAGCAGCCTTGTAACCCAATCCACACCACTGGCCTGTGTAGCACGGACGACCTGGGGCGGTGGCAGCGCCGGGGCCAGCGGGGGTCCACCCGGCCTCCCTGACCTCCCCCCGAAATGGGCACCAGGGCCAGGTCCTCTCCCCGGGGTCGATGCTGGGTCCGTGAGGACACCTTCGGGGTTGGTGTGCGGCCACAACACCAGGACCACAGCGGGGTTTCACAGGACACCTGCAGGGTGGGGGGGCGAGGGGGGCGGAGGGCAGGAAGCAGCTGGGGGCGCCCTGGGGGTGCTGCACAGTGAACTGGGAAACGCCAGATTGGACTGGGGTGTGGAGCCCACTGGCCCCCAGGCTGCGGCAAGAGCTCCCAGCGGCCCAGGACTGCGGGTAGCAGAGGACCTGCAGACTTGGCTCTCGGGCGGGGCCATGTCCTGGCTCCCGAGCTGAGCCGACCGACCCCTGAGAAGGGGGCGCAGGCCGGAAGCAGAAGAGGAAAGTCCCCACTTCCTCCGTCACCACCACCTGACGTCCACAGAGCAGGTGGGGGGGCGGGGAGGGAAGGCAGGGGTGTGTGACCTCGAAGGCCTGTGCTCCCGGGGCTGCCACATGGACCCTTGACACAAGCCAGACGCCCCTTCCGCCTGCTGGGTCCTGACCTGGGCACGCACAACACCGCACCCCCTCCCCACCACGGACTCCAGGGCAGGAAGGGGAACAGATTCCAGACAGGAGGCCTGCGACCCCTGGGATGCGGGCTGGGGGCCTGGGGGCTCTCTGTGTGGGGCCTGAGGGGCCTGCTGTGCACGGTGGGGGCCCTGCAGCACCTGGAGTCTGGGTGGGGGCAAGGGGGGAGCCTCACAGGCCACAAGAGGTCCTGGGGCCACCCTGAGCCCTGGATGAGGAGGTGGGGCAGCGGGGACAGCAGCTGATTGAGAGCCTGGGATAGGGAACCCCCCAGAGACCTCAGCCCTTGACCCGCCAGCACCCGCCAGCACCTGCCCAGCACCTGTGTAGCCTGACAGAAT